AGTTCAGCAGGCGGGTAGCTTCTATATATCAACCCCAGCCTTGTCTTACAGAACAAAAAAGCTTGTAATTGTCTGTTGATCTCTATCTAGGTGCTCTCCATTTAAAGTTCTCCAAGGCCACCGGACTGTGGACAGCCATGGAAACTTGTGTTTACATTGGTGACTCAATGGGGGAGAAGGGCGCGCAGAGAACAACAATATGGGTGCAGTTTTTACACCAGGAGGAGCGGCTAAGCAAGTATGGTAGCAATCTTGGTTCAACCTAAATATGGTGACTTGAAGTCTCATCTTTTTCCTGTATTTGTCCTTAGTTATGTGGGGAAAGATTACTTGAAGCCAAAGCAGATCCAGTTTCCTCTGAAAGATGTGGAGCGACAGATGACAGCCCAGTACTATGTAACTGAATTCAACAAAAGTCTCTACGACAAAGAAGTTATGGCTCAGATCTTCTTTATTCCGTCAGAAGCCCTGTTGGTGAGGGACTGCTGGAAACACTTATTTAAAGGAATTCAAGATAACAAATGTTGCATTCAAAGTGCTTACTTTGTAAAAACAGCTTTAATAGAAGCCCTTATCCAGAGTTTGGTACAGACTGCAGCAGCTTGAAATGTAATACTTTCAGCTTAGAGCTAGAAATCTGTTTTGTGATATAGTCAAGCAATTATTCTGTAGGTTATTAGTCTAGGAGGTGCTATGATCTGCAAATTTTTACAATTCTGTGTGGAAAGTATTTATTGATTTGGACCAAAGACAGAGAGCCTTTATCATTATTCACTGAGTGTAAACCAGACTGTGTACTGCCATTTATCTTTATAAACACAATACAACAGTACAGCAATGTGTGTGCTGAGAGCCAATCACAAACCCAAAAGACACATAGAGCCAATGGATTACTTAGATTAGTAACATTTAAATACAAAGATTTATTTTAGTAATATTGTTGCTACCAGTAGAATCCAAACAGTCTTCAAATGTTACAAAATATCTCTCTTGTTTTCCGGTGATCAGATTCTGGATGGAGATGAGATTGTGGGCTGTGTAACCGTGGAGCCCTACATGCTTGGAGACTTTGTCAAACTGACCAACAACACTGAAAAGAAGGAGAAGATGTTCCATGCTACAGATTATGGCCTCGCATTTGGACACTTCACCTACCTGTTCTCTGGTGGCCAGGAAGTCGTTGTAGATTTACAAGGTGTGTGACATCTGCTGCTTTTCACTGAACGCAATATTGTCACATGACAAAGATTAGTAGTCATCCATTTATTTTTCCACAGGATGGGTGACAGCCAACGGCAAAGGACTGACCTACCTCACAGACCCACAGATTCACTCCACCAGGATCCCTAAGGGTCCTTCTAACTTTGCTGCCAGAGGGCTCAGTTTGTTCCTGAAATATCAGCATGGACCTGAGTGCAATCAGATTTGCCACCTGCTCAAACTACCTCCACTGGACCCAAACTCAAACGTTTCTCCTCAAAAACTTTGAGACGTTGGACACTATTTATTGCTATCCACAAAAAATTGAAAATTATTTAAGGGGCTTGTTTTGGCAAGTTTTTGGAACTGACTGCTTTTCTTTTTTTTTAAATGTACCGATAAATGCATTGTGCACCCTTTTCTTGGAATGCTAGAAGTGTAACAGATTTACAAAGAGCTTTTGGGTGCTACATTTAGTTACAAGAGATAAGAGATCATTCTTTTATAAGAGAAGGATCTGAAAAGACAAATGCTACAAAATTGTTTATGTGGTTTCATTATTGTCAGCAGATTATCAAACAGTTAACATCTTAGGCTCTTTTCATCAGGTGGTCAAAGATCTCACGCCTGACAGAAATTTTTCTTATTGTACCTTTTTTTTTTTTATTGGAAGTTACAAAAACCATGTGACTGCAGTCACAAGGAAACATGATTTGATAAGAGAAAAAATATTTTTTTAAAGATGTTATCCATCACTGTCTCCTCTCTATGAGTGGATTGCTGCCTAACTGGAAAGATAAGATAAGATAAGATAAGATAGAACTTTATTAATCCCTCGGGTGGGTTCCTCTGGGAAATTCGACTTCCAAAAAGCACAGCAACGACCGAAGTTACAGTTACAGAATTGTTATATATATATGTATATATATATATATATATACACACACACACACACACACACACACACACACACACACACACACACACACACACACACACACATATATAAATACAGAGACAAATATAAATAAAGTATACAAAGGGGATAAATAGAATAAATAGGAATAAAAAATAAAAATACAAGTGAATTGCACATTTCAAGTATTGAGTCTATTGCACTGTTGACTATTTACAAAAAGTATTGCACAAGGTATTGCACCGTGAGGTGAAGAGGCACTACAGCTTAGTTGTTCCCCCCTCCTTTGTCCTCCTGTTTCCCCTCCCTCTCCCCTCCAGAGAGGAGTTAAACAGTTTGATGGCGTGTGGGACAAAGGAGTTTTTAAGTCTGTTAGTTCTTGTCTTGGGGAGAGGGAAAGGGAGTGAATCACCTGATGCTGTTTGAAGTCGTTTTGAATGCTATTATGGAAGATTTTAAGTAGTCTGTCCTTTTACTGGGATATAAAAACATGTTGTGTTTGGGGTCTGGCCTTTATTTGTGGTGCTGTCCCCCGATCCACTCCTCTTAGACTGAAAAATGATCCAATATCCCAGGGCTGTAAAATCCCTCTATTGCTGTGCTTGCTTGGTAATGTTGCACAACTTGACAAAATGTCTCATAATGCACATCCGCATAACCACACAATGCGTTCATGCACATGTGACTCCCACACAATTCTAATGACATGTAAAATATGCAAATATGTGCAACACTGTTGTATTGTCTTCTTTTCTTGTTTGTATCACTGCATATTTTGTCCTTTTGTAACAATATAGATAAAAAAAATAATTAACTTTGATGATAAAAGCCAGCAATGTTTAGTGAACTGTAAAATCTGTGTAAACAGGCTACATGAAGATGATTATTGTGCAGTCTTCTCTACTGAAATGTTTTTGGTGCATATGGTCCAGTAAATGAGTGATAGATAGATGTTTGAAAAAGATACTTTATTGATTGCACAAGGGAAATTGATGTGTTACAGCAGCACGATGAAGGGTACAGTCTACAATAAACAGCACAGTTAAAAAAAAGGGCCACAGGTGCCTGGTAAGGGCCTTATACTATGAGATAGTGCAGGAATTTATATATTTACAACAGTGATAAAAAAAACAAAGAAAAAGAAAAATGATGTTAGTAAGACTGACATTTGTAAGGGAGAAGTGCAAATTGCATTAATAAATAAAATGTACAAATTAAATCGTGAGAAAAAGCTGCATGAAGGTATAATACAAAAATGTGTTTGGGACCATACGCCTGACAGGTGTGTTCATCTGTCACAGAATGAAGAGTTATTATACAACTTTACAGAGAGTGGTAGGAATGAGTTCCTGCAGCGTGCTTTATGGCAGCGAGGTTTATGTAGTGCAGAGACAATCAACTAAAAATGGCTTCTGACAACAGAACAGTACCTTGTGTAGCAGATCCACCATTAGTTGTGTACCTGTGTGTGTGTTAATAGGTCAATAAATGGAGCCCTTTGCAAAGTGCTTTGCAAACTGCCAATGGGGAAACGTGTAATGTAAATATAGTCCATTTATCTTTACAAGGGGTGTGCAACATGGTCAAGGTGAATACAGTAGAAAGACCTGACTGACATCATTTCAGTGCGACAAATGACCGCTGCAGGTCTACACCTGTAGGTCAGATACCCTTGTAACTGTTGGTGTTTGTTCAATTTCCAAATGGAAAATGATAACAGTATAGAAATGCTCTGCTCGTACACATTAAAAACATCTCACAAGGTGCATTACTGAGTCAGCCAAGAGTAAAATTATTAAGATGATGACAATGATGAAAGCAAAAATAATTCGGAGAATCTACACTGTAATACTACACATAGCATAACTTGCAAAGGATGTGTGTGAACTGCAATATTAGAAACGCCTTCTTGTATAGTATAACTACAAGTTTTGTATAGGCTTATATGTAATTAATGCATTTTAAAGTAGTAGGTTTGTAAGTTTATCTAAAGCTGTCAGGTGGTTAGGTCTGCTGACAGCAGTCACACACCTCTACAGTCACATGACAGTGATGTCATTCATGCGCACATGTTTACCCGTCCCCATTCGGCCAAAATCCTGTTCGGGCTTTATGAGCTGCCCTCTTTTGTAAACACAGCATGCTTTACCCTTGGCCCACTAAGCCCAGTATGACACAGTATCACTAAGCGCTGTTATGAATATTCGACTGGAAAGCGGTGTATTTTTGAAGTTTGTCCTCACTGTAAGTGCACTGTATGAATAGAGTTGGCATAACATTATAAGCACCTACAGATAGAAGAATAACACCGATGGTCTCTTCATCGTGGCAGCCGTTAGTGGGTGGGATATGTAAGGGAGCAGGTGAACATTTTGCCCTCAAAGGTGTGTTAGAAGCACGAAAAACTGCAAGCGTAACGATTAGCGTGAGTTTGACGAGCGTCAAACTGTGACTGTTTGGAGACTGAGTCAGAACATTTCCAAACACTGCAGCTCTTGTGGGATGTTCTCAATCTGCGGTGGCCGGTGTGGGTATCTATGAAAAGTGGTCCATGAAGAACAGTGGTGAACCAGAGACTCGGTCGTGGACAGCCAAGGCTCACTGATAAAACGTGGGGACGAGCAATGGACGAGCTGCCGTAGCTCAGATTAAATGTGGTTCTGATAGAAAGATGTCAGGATACAGAGTGCATCACACAATATGAGGCAGGTGGTCATAATGGGGTTATGTTTCACTTTTGTTGCAGAATTTGTACATTTGTAAGCATTTACAGTCTACACACACTCTGCTGTATGAGTCTCTTGCCCTTGGAAAACATTAACCAGCTTTTAATGTACAAAGACATTTCCTTTTATGGGCTTACACTGCGACCTCACCCTGACAACACCCGAATCTGAACTTGAGCCCTCAGATGTTGGTTGAAAATAAAATCCGGAAGCATCTAGGCCTGTCTGGTCATGTGTCAGCATATATAAGGAAGTGCAGCTCCTCTAGAGCAACAGAGACTTCGCAACTACCTGTGAGAAAGTCTGCGGATTCCTCGAAGATGAAACTCTTTGTGGTGTTAGTGTGCGTGCTGGCAGGCTGCCTGGCAGAGAAACCTCGCCCATGCAGTAAGTAAAAAAGGAAATCGGAGACGAGCTCCGTTGTGGTTACAGTGATAGCTCACTGTTGGGTTCTCATTGCTGTTTTCTCTCGCTGACTTGTAAATATTAATAAATAATTCTGTTTTCTCTTATTTCACGCAGAAAGCCCTCCCCTTCTGACTGGAGCCCTCACTGTTGTGAGTTTATGCTTTGTGTACTTAAAACTTTTGCTGTTGCTATTAATTATGAGGGAGAAATGAGCCTCTGTTGTTGTTGTGCATTAGCAATGTTTGATTGAAACATAAAATATGACCCATTGTTTAATGTTTGGGTGAACAGTGGGTAAAAAGCATTTAAAAAAGAATAAAAGTGTGTCAGCCACTGCATCAGAGTTAGGAATGAGGTGGTCTTGTGGTCTTGTGGTGTTGAGATACAAGTCCAGACATTTCAGTGCTCAGGTCAAGGTCCAGATTGATGTTTATGGCGAGTGAGCACGTCTGACAGTGTGGAAAGCAAACAAAGAAAATGAAAGTTGTACTTGAACCAAACGTGCAACCACATTTAATTGTCATTCATATTCTGTGTGAACGAGAAAGATGTCAACAATCTTGCATTCTGTTTCTCCAGTCCACACAGAATGAAAAGCTGTGGGTTTATGCCAAATACCTGTACGATGCATGGGGACAAAGGGTCCGGCTCATGGAGCTGGGGAACTACCAGAACAAGTCTTTCACCTATGACGCCCTGCTGCTCTTCAGTGAGGTGACCAAAGCAAACACAAGAACGTCTCAAATATTTGTTTTAGTGTGCAAATCACTGCTGATACGATTCTACTGAAGTGGAGACGCATGAGGCCAACAACACAACATGTTATAAGAAAGTATTTTCTTTCCTTAATGTTTTACTGGAATATAATGGGAACTCGTAAGCATGTGCAACTGACACAATAAAAAGCGGGCCATATTTAAAAAAAACAAAAAACAAAAAAAAACCCGACAATGACAGCATATTTAATTAGTTTAAGGTTAGCACATCTTTCTCTTGATTAGAATAGATATTATGGCATAATTTTGGGTGTGAGCACCCATATATGTTATTTCTGTGCTAGGTTTTGGTTGTTATTTCCATCTTCAGCAAACAGAAGTTACTGAAATAACCATCATCTTTAGACTGAATCCTATTGTATGTAACAGCAAAAGAAATTCTCATTCTTACCCCACAACTCATGCACCAGGCTGCCATGTATGAGATCGACGACAAAGCTCGTACATGCAAGAAAAAGCCTCTGAAGGCAGACTTCCATCCTATGGAAATCCCAATAAATTCAACTCTGGTGGGCCAAGCCGTCCTGGGCAGCTCATCTGGACCTGGTGAAGGACTCCTGGTCAACACCTGGACTGGAAATCTTCCTGGAAACACAGGTGAGTTGGCATCTAATGTTCAGAACTGTCATCCTGGCTGTTTATCTGCACTCTGTTTATGGACACATTTCATGTCTGTCCTTCCAGGAAAGTACCTGACCACCTTCACTGAATTCGGATGCATTCCAGTCAACACTATGTACCAGACACAAGAGTATGGATGGATGGTGACAGGGTTCGTTTCCTCTCAAGTCTATAGTGTGAAAAATGTAGAATGAAATACGTTTGCGTCCGTCCAAGTAAAAGCTGTGTCCCTTTTTTTTTTGTGCTCACCAGCTTCTTCAACAACGTCGTTGGGATTTCTGACCCTGGTCAGCTCAACCCCCCCGACTTCTGCCCAACAGAGATGACGTCGAATGGAGAGAAGCCTGAAGATTTCACCAGCTTGTTCTTTAAGCTGCAGTGAAGGCTTCGGCGGGTTTTTATCTTACGCAGTGCACTGAGATCACCAATGTTGGAAATTGGCATTATATAAGTAAAAATGAATGGCATGTAATTGCATGTAAAATGCTGTCTCCCCCGTATTCCTGTTTAAAACATGGAGGACGAGTTTGGCCTCATTGTTCTTTCTGTGTATCTCTAACCGGGATGAACTTTGCAATCTTTTTGGCATGCAGAAAATGATAAAGCGGTTTGACAAATCATCTGGTTTGGTTTGGTTTTTTTGTAACAGGTTATTGCCTGTCATATTTGCTTTTCTTACTTCCCATTTTCTAACACATCTTGTGTTCATCAATATAAATGTAACGCATGAATGCATGCGGTGTATTTCTTGTTTCATAAGAAAAGGTAAAGAAGGATGTATTCTCACAATCTGTCTATTGACACAAAAAAACCAACATGTGACTTAATGGTTTCAAGAGGAAAAAAAAAAAGTCCTGGAGGATCAAAAGTCTTTATGTTTAATGCCCACCTTGCTGGTTTCCAGTTGTTACTTGCTTTCTGGGTTGGTTCACCAGAGAGGTGACACTAGTCACCTTTACCAGCAGACATAGTTTCTAGCTTGTTAAAGTAGTTTGTGTACATATGAAGTGGGAGTGGTTAAGGTTACAAATGCTGCTCTTTTACATCTACATGCAGTCTATCCTCTCAACTTTCTCTTCAGTCAGCCTTCTAGCTCCTCCCCTTGGTTTGTTAGTTAGGGGTCAAAACAGCTAAAACGCAGTTTCTACTATTAAAAGACATTCCCCTTGACTTTTATTCTCACATAACTGGCGTATTGAGAAATGACAAACAAAAAACTTGGCAGCGAAAACAGAATGGGAGTATCACCTGCTTGTTTTTTAAGGAAGTGATATTTTTGAAGCAGTATCATATGAGCAGCTGTTGCAGAGGAAAACATTCAGATCTGCAATCGAACAGCATGAAGGTCCTCGTCCTGCTTGTGTGCCTGTCCGTGGGCTGTCTCGCTCAGAGACCACGGCATTGCAGTGAGTACGCAAACATCTGAAGAAAGTCCTCTTTCTTCAAATGTCTCCAAATGCAGCAGTTCTCTTGCTTTAGCATCAGAACTGATGGTGCCGATTTGTTTTTGATTCAGTGTAGAATGACCAAGTTAGCAATGTAGCACATCTGTAGTGTAAATCCTCCAAAATGCTTTAATTTTCCCAGGATACCCGCCACTGATGAGCGGAAGCCTGTCTGTGGTAAGTCTCCTCTCATATCCCTCGATTACATTTGAGTGTTGCAATAACAACTGATACTTAATGCAGTTGTTAGTTATTCAGAGTAATCTGTGAGAAGTAATCTGCAATGACGAACATTTGCCTCTGTTTGAAAGTCCACTGCAAATCAGAAACTGCTGGCATTCTCCAAGTACATCTATGATGGACTGGGAGAGCGCATCCGCTTCAGACAGTTTGGACTCTATGACAATAAGACCTACCACCTTGATGTGCTTCTACTGTACAGAGAGGTAGCGACGGCACAGCAGTAATATTTGCATTCAAGTTTATCCTGGATACCATAAATGACTGTGTAATGGTGCCCTGTCCTCTAGGGTGTTATGTACAAAATAAACAACAAGAACCGCACATGCACTAAGCAGCATCTGAGCCCTGACTTCCATCCGCTGGCAGTTCCAAGAAATGCCACCCTGATGGGCCAGGTTGTGTTGGGCGCCTCCTCTGGTCCTGGACAGGGAGTCCTGGTCAACAGTTGGTACGGGGAGGAGACGACGAAGACGGGATCAGGTACAATAAGAGGAAATCAAAGCGAAAAATTGCAAAGTCATGTGTTAGTTTGTAACACATGACATTCTCTTACATAAGCTTGTGTTGATCACAAACAAACCTGCTTGTCTGCTTGCGCTGCCTCGGCTCCCATGTGATCCACTTCTTGTTTCTGCAGCCAAGTACTTTACCACTGTCACCCAGTTTGGATGCATCCCCGTCAGTACTCTGTACCACACCAGCAGCGGTGACTGGGTGGTCAACAGGTCAGTGGGCAGAAGGCTTTTAATATTGTTCTAGAACTTTCATGCATGTTTCCAAAACTATTTGTCACGTTGCGTTTTTTTCCTTAATATTTGCCAGTAAACACTGAACTGGGTCCCTCAGTAGGGCACTGGCTTTTTCTCACACTCTAAAGTCTCTGAGAATCTGTGATCCTGGTTGAAGAAAACTGTTGGCATCCTCTGATTCATTTTTGCTTCATTTGTTTCTGTTTTTCAGCTTCTATAACAATGTCATTGGATTAGTCGATCCCCAAAAACTCAACCCGCCATTTTTCTGCATGAATGCTGAGCAGGGGGATGAAGACGAGCCAGTAACATTTCTCAGCTTGTTTAAAGAATGATTTTACAAATGGTGGTGACAATGATGATGATGATGAGTCACTGAACTGCGTTGCTGCCATTCATAAACAAGCTTCATTTGGTTAAAATTCATGCTAATATTTAATCAGAGTATTTTCATACATATTTTACATTCATCAGATTGAGCAGCGTTTCCTCTAAAATCTATTTTTAATCACACTGTTTCTCTTTTTTAATATTTTCCCATAACAGTTTATCGGTTAAATTAGTGTTTTAACATTTATGTCATAAGAAAATAAAAACAAATTCAGAAAAGTCGAGCCTGATACTTTGTTCCTGATACTTTTTTCACTGATCTGCACAAACTGCAGTAGGAGTGTGGCAATAATCAATACTCACAGACTAACAACGCAAAGACTAAAGGCCACTGGTATGTCCCACTGGGTGGCATGTTGGCAAAGTTCAGGAGTATCACACCAAAGAAGATCCTGAAGCTGAAGAAGCATTTTGCCATTCCCACTTCAAGAAGACTTCAAATGAATATTTTAACCTCACACCTTCCACAACAAAACTGGACAAATCAAGAAATAAATCTAATGGCATACATTCTGCTACTTTCCAGATGTTGCAGAGTGTGGTGTAAGGGTATTGCTACACCCTGTCATCCACTGATTGACTGGGGGGGTAGGCAAACTGAGGGCTATCAGCAGTGTCTTGGGCCATGTGGTTGATGTGTGTGAGAACCAGTTTTTTGAGGCATTTCATGGCAATTGGTGTGAGTGCCACTGGCCTGAAGTCGTTTAAGGTGGACATGTCCGGTCTTTTGGAGACTGGTATGATGGTGGAGGATTCGAAAACGCATGGGACTACTGCCTGACAGGTTGAAATGCACAATGCACTGTTACCTCCCAACAAGCATCCCTCATCATCATTTCTTTGTGGCGTTTCTCTCTGTGTGTGAGTAGTCCAGCTTCTTCCCACAGAGGCATTAAAGCCTCAGTGGGGTTAGGTTGTTTTGCCCATAGGTGTGAGCGGTTGTGTTTGTGTTAGAGAGACACCTTTTCCACCCACCCACCCTCCCAAAAAGCTAGAATTGGATGAACCAAATGACATTTGTAATGCATTATGTAAAGCTGCAAGGTATTTAGATGTTTCTCATAAATAAATCTGAGTAACATGAATTAATAAATCAGAAATAATATCTGAATGCGGGAGATCCATCACTGCCAAAAAATATTAATTTGATTGGAAACCATTAATGTGTCTAGCTGATGTTTTTTCTTCCCTTTTCTTTCTTCCCTATTGTAGTGCACTGTAACTTTGGTACTTTGTACCTAGAGCTACTCTTCTGTTTACAAAGAGGAAATGAGCAATGTGGTCGCGACCTGGAAAACACACTGCCACAACATCACAACAACTTTGCCTACTTATCTCTCTATATATAAGTTAGATATATATAGAAGTACTTCCATAATATGATCGCCCAAAACTACTGGGCTTTAAACATTACTAACGTGTACCTAAAACTGCCGTCTCCAGGCCTGGAAATGTTTCTACTCTACTCTACATGTCTTTAAAATATTTCTCTAAAAGAGGCATATGTGTGATGTAAGTATAGAGAACATTTACTTTGCAAATTGTATCACAGTGTTGTGTTCTGCTGGATGGGATTGAAATCCTGGATGCTGGGTGCCTGCTGGCCACTAGATGGCAGTGTGTGACAAGTAATGAAAGAGAGAGATTTCCAAATCTATGCAACTCAAACATGAAACACTGATTTACAGTTCAGAGATGATATTACAATTGTGTTGTATTATTTTATTTATTTATTGGAGTAAAAAGTTTCAGTTATAGAGCAGGATGAGGGGTCACCTGGTAGCAGTAGTAATGGATCCCCCTTAGCTCTCCAACTTCCTGCACCCCAACATCTGCTGTCATCACTCCCGGATCCTGTGCAGCCGTCTCCAGCCAAATAAGCCTGGAGTCAGGGTCCTCATCAGAAAACTGGAGCAAGGACCCTGAACTCCGCAACACCCTTAAACACTGCTTCAAGACCAGGCTGGCATTTCGCTTCCCCTCCCTGGACCTTAACAAGGCATCAGTGGTCCCCTTGTCAATTATAAGGTCCACAGTACTAGGACTGAAGCGTTTATCAAGCTGTGTGCAGTCCAGCTCTACGAACTCAATTTGAGAAGAACAGCTGTGAGGTTGAATGGCTTTAGCTTGAATGTGTTCCTGCATTAGTTTCACAGCTATGGGGGAAATGTCAGCACAAGTGACATGGACGGAGACAGGAGAGTGCCTGTAGATAGAGGGTCCCAGTGCTGACGTACCACAGCCCATATCCACCACCTGGAGCGCAGCGTCTGGGCGAGACATAGTTTGCAAGAGGGGCATGATGAAGTCTCGGACAGAATCGAAACCAAAAAACCACTCAAAGTTTTTGAAGGTGGCTTTCCCGCTGCTGGTCTCGGTGTAGAAGCGGTCCCAGGTTGCTTTCTTATCCATGTTTTCAATCAGTTCAGCTACAGTGAAACAAAGATGGGACACAGGAGTTATCAGTAATACACAAAACATCGGTTATTTTAGCATGATCATGACTGAGCTCTTTTCTTAGGTTATAAATAGACATTAATAGTTTCTTTTGAGGAAGTTCCCTCAACTTTAATGTGATTTCCAAGTTTATACAACAGCAGTGTGTATAAGATACATTTATGCATTGCTGATATTGTTGTAAAGATGCACAAAACCTTTCAGTCAAATCCACGTGATAAACATGCTTTGCTGTTTGGTTCAGCTTTTCGGAAGCTGCGGTTTATGATGTTGTTGACAGGTGTTTGGCTAAGTGTTGCCCAACTGTGGTCTGCACAATTGTTTAGAAGGCACACTGCGGCTGCGATTAGAGACTTAAAGCACATCTTTCTACACAGCTACGATGACCTTTAATGGGCTTTAATGTGTAAACTAGCAGCCGACTGTACTACAGGACTACCTCGTGGTACAACTGCTTTTTTTTCAGTGAATACGTCACTAGCTTGCACCCCAGTCACAGCAGAGTCCTTCGTCTCTGTGAATGGCTAAGGTGTTGTAGCTAGTTGCTAGCTGTAGCTTATTAGTCTGCAGTCACGTGTAGCATGAAATGTCATGAACACATTTCAGTCAGGCTAGCCTGGTATTAAAAAAATATAACATGTTTATACATACCAGTTAGAGAAGAATGATACCGCAAATAAGCCCCCAAAACTCTTCTGCCTGACAAAAATGACTTTAAAAACGGAGACATCTTGCCTTTCACTCTAACCTTTAACGTAAGAGTTCTCACTTTGGTATTTTTTCTTGGTACCAACAGGACTCAACGTCCATAAAATGCTAAAGAGCAAAGTATTTTATGGTTATAGACGATCTTTGGTTCGGTTATGCTGCAGTGACGGAACTGCGCATGTGTGTGAGTGCAAGCGTAAACAACATACACCCACTTAACCATTCTGTCAAAAAGCAGCTGTCCGTGTACATCACTGACATCTGTATATTGAGAACTACATATCAAACGCTTTCTAGGTACCAAAAACCTTTTAACATGTACGTTTTCTCTTGTAGGTCATATACAATTTATTACTGTATAGTCCCATATTCTTCTTTCTCCTCTCCCTGCAGGAATAATGCAATAATGCTTTCAATTCAAGTATAGTTATACCAGGTTCCTACAGATGGATGCAGCACAGTTCTGACATCAAATATGCATCAACGTGCAGTGTTGTTTACACAAAAAGACTTAGAACGTTATTCTCAACTTTCAATATTTAACTGAAAAACAAAAATCATACTGACACAAGAAATAAGATGTAAATTGCTTTAATAAAACTCAATGAAACGCAGTGTAACAAAGGAAAAGAAACAAAGCAAGTAGATAACATTTACAACCACAAAAGAAAAAAAAACCCTGTACAACTCTAAATGGTTGGAGTCACTTCTATATTTCCAAAGATTTTTTTTTTTTAATTTAATAATTTTGTCATGACTGAAGGTAAATTTGGGGGTTTGGGGCAAGAAGGGCAAATGAGGCAAGTAATGTGATTTTCTCTCTCTTTTTCGTTTTTTTTTTTCCAAATACACGAGTGTAATCTCATACACAGATGTACGTTTCATCAGCATGGCTGCTGGTAGGATTTCTTGAATGCGCTGCTGCGGCACACAGCAGGAGATGCATGAGATGGGCTGTGGCCAGGAGTGCTATTTGTACAAGATGTCGTAATGGCCAGGTCTATAGAGGAGGAAGATGCGGGGGTCTCCGCCTTCGGGAAAGACGTGGTGATTGACTGTTCCTCCCTCTCCTCTATCCATGTACTCCACCAGAATGGATACGTCCAAGGCCTGAGCTAAGGCGATGATGTGAATGTGGTCACTTTCTTTAGACATTGGCTCTACCTCCTTGGAAAAAGAGAAGAAAAAAGCACATTAGGTGCGAGTTTCAGACAATAAAACGTGTTTTTTGTACCAGAATGGCAAACAGTCATAACATGTCATAACAGTTCAACAGTTATGTACATTATATTTAAATTTAAAAGCAGGAAAATGATTATCTACGTAGGGAAAACCTTCACCTGCTGGCAGAACTCCTTGACAGTGCGCCCACCCTCTATGAAATGCTGAAAGAAGGTATGCTGTCGCTGCAAGTAGCCTGAGGTGAGCAACCGCAGGTACACCACCACATAGTCTGATACGTTCTGGTCATTGAAGGAGTTCAGCAGCTCCTGCAGGCTCGGCTGTTTCTCACATAGCTCAATCAGGTCCATGAACTAGCAAGAAAAACAAGATTTACATGTTTAGACTCATGTACTCAGGCCTCAGCTTGCCAACTTTCTATTTAACTGGCCAAAACATGTGCTCTGGCAGATGGCCATCTAAAATTGGCTAATCAATAAGGAAAAATCATTTGCACCTTAACCAACATAACAAATGATATGCTGTCAATCAGGTTGAGGGTTTTACACCTCTTTTTTTAAGCTTATTTACAGCAACAATGTAAAAAAAAAACCAGACAATAAAACAAATGTATCTAACTAGATGACATCCATTTGCATTTGTAGCAACTTCACAAAAATAGTCATTTAGGTTTGCCAGAATACTCACAGTATTGTGAAAATCTTCAATAGTAAACTCAGTGAAACCTTCGTTAACCAGATCCAGTTTACTTTTAGCTGCAACTGCTTTGAACCTGATGAGACAAAATGTGTATTTAAAAAGTAAAAATTGTAAATATTACAGCCGCCTATGTGCTTATCCGAATTTTAAAATATTGAAAACAGAACACAGTGTACTGCCCACACACACTCATACATCCGATGAACAGACAGAACAGCAGCAGAACGCATTTAAATCGTCTGAGATGATGATGAAGTGTGAATTTGAGCATAGCCACTAACAGCCAGCAGAGCACACACAGTAACCACTCTGGCACTCACCTCTGAAGTTCTTTGCTGTCATCTAGCAGGGACTCGAGATGTGCAAAGCCAAAGGCTCTGTAGAAACAGTTTCCATCTGGTCGCGTCTTGCGAATGTACGAGTATTTTTTGTGCAGGTCCTGTAATAACAATAATTTTAAAAAAATCTGTAACACCAGATCCAAAACAGTTTTTGCGAATTTAAACAGAGAAACTTTGGATTGACGTGTGGCTGCAGTAACCTGAGAGGTGCAGCGCTCTGACTGACCTTGATCTTGAGCTGATAAACCGTGTCATCCTCAGCGTACTCGCTCTGCAGCACCGACAGGTCCTGTCTGTCTGACACTAAAGGGTTACTGTTGGCTATCTGCACAACCACACACACAAAATTGCAAATTAGTCATTGCAATCCATCTCAATACTTGTTTTTAGACTTTTTATTAAACAGTATGTCAGTGATTATGCATTAGTGACATTTCTTTTTATGCTCATCATAATCTCACAGCTGTGCACATAAAGCCTGTTACAGGTCAAGGTCAGTGTAATTACTGCACAGATAGATTCTCAAAGAAATGCATCTCATTTGTGTTCAGAGTGCAAATGATGCTTTTATAGCCCTGTCCACATGTCATCTGAGATTTCTGAAGTTGTAACTGTGAAAAATAAATAAATAAATAAATAAATAAATAAAGACAGTGGAATAGGGCTGCCACAAACGATTATTTTGATAGTCGACTAGTCACCGATTATTTTTGCGATTAGTCGACTAATCAGATCATCATCCATTGAACGTAAAAGTACAGCTTATTGCACCAGCAGCATCTGCTCTTATATAACTATCATTAGCTTACAGCTTTAAGTGTTTAAGGTCTGTGCTAACTAAAAATAAAGACAAGATGATAGTTAATTGAATTTTAATTAAATGTGCAGATTGTTTCGGTGGAGTTTAATAAACTCAGCCGATTTACTCAGGAACAAATAAAATACTGAAAAAAGCCAAACAATAACATTTTTAAGTTATCTAAGTGACTTATATATGTTTAACCTGAGTAGGGCGGTGGGTTTGAAAACGATCTGCCGGGAGTCCAGTGCTCTCATGGCCCCCGGCTAGCTATCGAGCTAGTGGGTAACAGACGTCTCTGAAAACGTCGGAGCGCTTTTGAAAATATGTGGTGTCCTGATAAACTGAGCAGATATTTGAGGTTTACACAGCTACATTCTCGCCTGAAAATATGTTAAACGTTTATTTTGTGACCCAGAAAGAATAATAAGAGTAAAGTTAAAACTAACTAGCTGCCGCCATTGTTGACAACTGCGCTGGGCCGCGCTATGAATTCTGGGACACAGTTTCTTCTTCTTCGGGGTTTAACGGCAGCTGGCATCCTTGTACATGCAGTGCTGCCATCTTCTGTTTCAGTCCGTTATTACACTCTTAAATCCTACTACTTATTCCTGCTTTTGGGATCTTACAAAGCTTCAAACGACGCGTCGACTATTAAATCAGTCGTCGACGATTTTGATAGTCGACGTAATCGTGACTAGTCGACTAATCGTGGCAGCCCTACAGTGGAATGTGGAAATTTGCTCATCCGGATCCCGAGAATAACACAAAGTCATCTTTATTTCTTTTTGCTTTCCAAACTAAAGGCTTTCTTACCTCCTGCTGAATCCGGTCCTGTTGAGCAATTATGGCCTCATCATATGCTAGGCAGTTCACTCCTGTAAGACAAAGGTGACATATTTAAGAGGCTTCAGGAGTAGAGTAGTACTTAAATGACATACTGGCCGACATGGAGGATGGTGAAGCTGTGGCATTGGGATTTTAACTGCACATCAGACTAGAAGCAGATTTACAATACCATAAATGTAGTAGCATTTATGGTGCTATATAAAGACAACAGCACTGTAACAGTTCTGAAACTGAGACTGAAACTGCCCTACAAACATCTACAGTATCAAAGCACAACTCCATCTTCCCAAACTGTGCAAGCTGTATAGAGGTGTTAATGTTTCGTCAAAGGATGCTAGTCTGAGAAAACTCTAATGTTTAAAAACTGATTAGGTTAACGTCTTTAGTAGAGGGACCCTAATGTGATCTACTGCCCAGATCTGTGGTTTAAAAAAATGAAAAAATTGAAAAAAGGATGAACTGAAAGCTAGTTCCACCTTCTAGTGTTTCAGAAAGTTAGGATGCAAGCGTTTGCTACTAGGAAAACAACTGTTGCACAAATTCAATATTTGGATTGGATATTGATCCGATACCAACCGTGAAAACTGGACCGGCTATCAGTGATAACGAGCCAGCCCATTCGATTCACTTCTGTGTTGCTCTGTGTTTACTTTGCCACGTGTATCCTAGAGCTGTTTTCTTTTAATTCACTAACAAATACCAAAAATTGTATAGAATTATATTTATTTATTCATTCCTTTTTAGTTTTTTCAAAGTTAGGAAATGTTTTAACTTGAGTCTCGTGTTTCCTGAAACATAAAAGAATACTTTCTAGTCTCTTGCTCACATTGATATAGATTATTCAATTAAAACTGGTATCCTATCGCTAGTCAGTATTAGCAGTTAGCAAAGCTAAGGTATCGGTATTGGATGGGATTCAGAACAAGCCTATTTGGGCCATCGCTGACTGCATTCACTTTTACAATTGGTGTGTTTAAGCAGATGTGACCTAGTGACACTGTCAGTGTACCTGCATTGCACCTGCAACGCTGTGTGACAATGTAATACCCGAACAAGCCAGGGACTAAAACTGAAATAACTTTATATTACTTGGTTATTCTAGGATATTTTTTAAAAACGCCTAGCTTGGATTTAGCAATCACAATTAAATGCGACTACATTATCTTGGATGTAAAAATAAATAAATAAACTTGATT